AGTGCCAGCTGATTTATTGTTGGACATATTTTTGCTCCGGGGGGGCACTTGGCTTTCGCCGGGGGTGGAGCAGTGCCCCCCGGAGCCCGGAGATATAGCTGAAAGTAACCTTGATTATACCTTAAATTAGGGGTGGGCAAGGTGCGGCCCGCGGGCCAGATGCGTCCCGCTCTGAGACTTTAACTGCGGCCCACCAGAGAGATAATTTTCAAGGAATTCAGAGTTCTACCCAATACACTGAACTGCTTGTTAACAAATTAAAAATAAAATTATAGTGAGATGACAAAAACGAATAATCCTAGGCAATAAATTGAACAAACTGTAATAGAAAGTTTGGAAAAAATTGTTTGGTCCTGTTTACATTTTTCTCTAAGTTATCGATCTCCAAGTCAGCCTTTCGCTTTAATTTTAATTCTGCTTCGCTCAAATTAATTCCCAAATTGCCAGGTTGCGTTGTCTGAAAATTTCTTATCAGCAGTAGCAAATTTTGGACGCTAGTGGGGGAGCGAAAGTTATTTTTTCAAAGGCCCACACACCACAATTATAAATTTAATTAATAAAATGTATATGCTTAAATCTACATGGTTTTACTTTTGTATTTGAAACAGCTTAACATCATACTTAAAAAAAAGAAAAAAGCAAAATCTTTTCAGGGACTGTCACTTTTATTGGAGGGCAGAAATCGAGGAGGGGAAATGGAGGGGGTGGGGTGGGGAGGGAGGGGGCCGACTCGAAAATGTTTGATACATTCAAAATGCAGGGATCCATTTTGGCATAATATAGTATATTATACTTAGATGTTCATTCTTTTTTGAAGGTCCAGCACTTTGTCTTCAATTTTACTCCTTTTAAAAAAAAATTTGGTGCACTCATATTTATTTCAATTATTTTTCTCAATACTCTTAATAACTCAAATTATGTTCTTAATAGTAAATAATTCAAGATACGTTTCGACAAATCATTCCCAGATCAGTTCGCAAATAGGCAGTGTAATAATTGTTTACATTACTGTGCTAATGTTATTATAGTTTGACAATTTTGTACATCATTTATTCATTTTTACGGTTTCTAAAGCAATTTATTTGTATATTTTTTTTTTTTAAATAATCCAATTCCCAGAATGTCTTGCGGGCCTCAGTGTTCCCACCCCTGGACTATATTTGAAGTTCCGTTCTGTGGAATATAACTGTGCATACACGTACATGCAGCTATTTAGAACACCAGTAAAAATACAAGAACTTCAGCTAGCAGTAATGAAGGTAGGATAAAACAGCCACCTGCCAACGTCCTTGCACTATCGACCTCCCAGTGGCCTTGGGCAATTTTATTCAAATTTGCAATTAATTATCTAGCTGCTGACACTAACAAATGAAAACAAAACATCTTTAACTTTTTTTTAAAAAAAAAGAAAGGGCTTCTTTCACCCGCCCATTCCCCTGTGTATAACAGACAAGAGTACGATAATCCGGGGATTGAATTTTCTTAGACGTATTTTTACGTCGTTAGATTTCAATCAAACTATTTGATCACCTCAAAAATCGAACTGTCTTTGAATGCCCTTCGGCTAAGCCAGCTTTTTAACCCCATAAAAATTCCTTTTTTTTTTTTTTTAAAAGGCGTACAACAAAAAAACATGCTCCCTAAACCGCCCCTCCCTAAACACGTTCATCCCATTTTCGAACATACAGCACCTCCTACCCACCCCAAATAAACTTTTACACTTTACACCAACAGCGCCAAAAGCGGAGAAAGGGGACATCCATGTATTTCGAGCCAGAAAGTGGAGAAGAAAAAGAGGGGGGAGGGGGGGTAATTTATGAGTTTTTGTCACTTGGGGGGGGGGGCGAGCTTTCGGTAGAATACCACAGTACATTTTCATTTACTATTAAAGAAATAATCAAGCCCATTTGTGCTAGAGCTATCCTCAAACTCTGACAGTTCACAAATAGCATATTTCTGTCACTAATGATACTACAGCCAACTCTGGGCAAGTGACACCAACTAGTCTGTGAAGGTGATTTCTTTTCAAAGGCTGTAACTATAAATGATGAAAACATCGCCCCAGTTTTACTTAAAAGGGGGGGGGGGGGCGGCGGCCAATCATATTCAATGAATCCTGGAAATAACCCATATTCTTGGGACCGAAGCAAAAGTGATGCCATTTGAAGCCATGGTGCTTGCTATTTCAAAGGTATGGCTAGGTTGATTTAGTGTACATGTCAGGGACAGGGCTATTTCCAGCACTGGGAGGGTGGGGCTTGGAGGGTTGTTGATTTTGAAAATTTTGCAACGGGTGCGTAATAGCTGGAAGGAGTTCAGGCAGAATGTGTTCATTAATTTATGCACAAATTCTACAAAAATTCTCACGAAGTTTTAACGGTCCAAATTTATCCCACCATATGTGAGATCCATCATTTTTCATTATTTTCAAAGACTATAAAAATATCCTTGCAAATTCATGAAATTATCTTCATACTTGAGCCGCTGGGTATTTTAAAAGTTAAAGTTCACAAAATCTCATAATTTCTTTCCACATAAAGAAAACTGTAGAAAGATCCTATGTCAATACATGTGAATTGGTAACATTTTTATTGTTCCTGCAGCACAATACATGAAGTCATGAAGTATGAGGACATGAAGTATGAAGGCCATGCCAAGAAAAGAATGAACTAAATGTACTGATGCCTGGTCTACTGCTGGTGGAAAAAACACCAAAACACAACACCCCCACCCCCTTTCTTTGAGAGGGTTTCATGCAATTTTGGAAAAAAAATTAGAGGCATTTATTGCCATAGTAGACTGGGTTATTTGCTATAAATTAGAGGCATTTATTGCCATAGTAGACTGGGTTATTTGCTATAAATTAGAGGCATTTATTGCCATAGTAGACTGGGTTATTTGCTATAAATTAGAGGCATTTATTGCCATAGTAGACTGAGTGATTTGCTACAATGCATCATGGATGTAAGGTAATTAAAACAACATAATAAATTGGTAAAAATGATCTACAAGTTTAAAAAAAACAATAATATCTTGGTGCCACAGGTGCCAGTGGTTGTTTCTTATGGTAACAAAATGATTAACGTCAATGGCACGTGCATCAGAAATCACACTACTCTCTGGATACATGAGCACCTATTGGACAGTCTGTGCACTTATTGGACAGTCTGTGCACCTATAGGACAGTCTGTGCACAAATTACATTCTGTTAAAATGACACAGCTGTTAAAATAAATGATTCTGTTGCACCGGAATTTCACCTGAATGACAGCTGATTTGTTGTCTTGTGCGCAGCTTAGAGGAAACACAAGCACGACAGAGGTCCCGTGAAAGACAAAAGATCCACTAATCATGTCAGTTGGTGTACGCACAGCAGCATTCTCTCTTTTTGTGATTAGGCAAGAGGATAACTTCCCTCACAAGTCACAACTCATTACCAGACAATGCCTTCCCTCACAAGTCACATCTCATTACCAGACAATGTCTTCCCTCACAAGTCACATCTCATTACCAGACAATGAATTCCTTCACGAGTCACATCTCATAACCAGATAGCAATACGTTGCTCCCAAGCCCTGTTAGTGACCAGAGGTCAACTGACGTGAGCCAAAACTAATGCAAGTCAGAGCAAATCGGTGCATTCAGTTTTCTTATGTATTTTGTTAACTAAAAAATGTAAATATTACATTTTACTGTAAATATAATTTAACATTAACATTTGCAATGCTAATAAACTGAAATAATGGAAAAGTATTTTATTGTTAATTAAAAATGTCAAAATTAAACAACTTTTATCACAGGACACAGCAAAAAAAAAAAAAAAAAAAAAAAAAAAAAATACATTATATAAAAAAAAAAAAAAAAAAAAAAAAAAAAAAAAAAAAAAAAAANATCTCATAACCAGATAGCAATACGTTGCTCCCAAGCCCTGTTAGTGACCAGAGGTCAACTGACGTGAGCCAAAACTAATGCAAGTCAGAGCAAATCGGTGCATTCAGTTTTCTTATGTATTTTGTTAACTAAAAAATGTAAATATTACATTTTACTGTAAATATAATTTAACATTAACATTTGCAATGCTAATAAACTGAAATAATGGAAAAGTATTTTATTGTTAATTAAAAAAGTCAAAATTAAAAAACTTTTATCAAAAGAAAAAAAAAAAAAAAAAAAAAAAAAAAAAAAAGAAATCCTGCTGTCTGAATGGAAGGATGTGACATTTCTGGAGTAGGAAAACAAAGTTTAATGCATTTTTTTTTTACTCATACAAAACATAAAAGTAGAATTTGTATGACTATTTACACAAAAGTTCTAATCAAATTGTTCTATGTCAGTAAAATATTCCTAAAAAAACACACGATATAAAGTAGTACCTGTATTGAAGAGTTAAATAAATATATAGTAAATAATGGTTCTACTTTTGTTGTGTGTCCCTGTTGTTAGTCTTCATATTTTTGGGTGGAAGCATGTGCGGGTCCCCTTCGTCTAGAAATCCAAGGTATAAAATTAACACACAAGCCCAGATGAAACAGTGCAGCGCTGTACCCAGGATGTTTACCAAGAGAATTGACCTTGACATTCCCGAAACCTGCCGCAGTCGGATCAGATTGATGATGTGACTCAGGGCTCCCCAGGAGATGTTCAGTGTGGCGATGAAGAGAGCAGCTGTTTAAGATAATTTCAATTTACTTTTTAGTCCTCTTTTTTAACCGTAAATTATATCAAGGTTATTGATAATATTTTTTTAATGACTAAGTATTTAAATGCTATGATCTCCAACAACCCATAATTTTTTTATCAGATTTATTCATTGGGCCACATGTAGATCTTCAAATATGAGATAGACCCCATCATTGACAATTAATAAATGGGGCTGTCAATTAACTATGTCAACAAAATTGAGAGAGGGGGGGGGGGGTCAAAACATTTTAGAAAATATGTTGACGGGGGGAAGGGGGGGGGCACCAGAAATTGACAACTTAATGACATTAACAATTTTATTTTTTTTTGATTAGGGCCACATGTAGATCTTCAAATATGAGATAGACCCCATCATTGACAATTAATAAATGGGGCTGTCAATTAACTATGTCAACAAAATTGAGAGAGGGGGGGGGGGGTCAAAACATTTTAGAACATATGTTGACGAGGGGAAGGGGGGAGTCACCAGAAATTGACAACTTAATGACATTAACAATTTTATCTTTCTTTGATTTAAATAAATAATTAATAGGTCTCCATAGCTTGTTGGAATATATTTTTTGTTTTTATTTATTGGCTATAAAAATTTGTAGAGTTTCAAATGGTCAGCTTAGCACATGCTCGTCTATTTATATACTTTTTAATAAATAATTTTAAAAAGGATGGTGGCCAATTCAAGTGACTCCCAAAAGACAGAGAAAGGTGATGGCCATTATTGAACAAAGGGAAAATGCTGACATTTTAATAGCTGACTCATTTGACTAGACAAGGATGATGGCCCGGTTTCATAATATTAATATGGAAATGATAAATTAATCAGCTGCTATGCACTATTGAAAAGAGGAACATTTGGCGTTTCAACGTGAAGATGAAAAATAAACAAGCGATAAATTTACTAACAATAATACTTAGACTTTAACAAGTCTTTAATAAATTTTGCAATATAAAACTGACTCTTTTCATAGATTCTAGATGTTATAAATGTAAAAATTTGTCTTTGAAGTTTTTAAAACAAGCAATAAATTTGTTGTTTCCCTCCTTTTGAGAATTAAAAAAGAACATTTTTTATTTTTTGGAAAAAGGGTGTGGGGACAATTGCTGACATAATTAATTAGAGGGGGGGGTGGGGGGGGGGGAGGTTGTCCTCAAAATTTTGACACTTGTTGACAAGGGGAAGAGAGGGGGTAAAAAATTGCATAAAATTTGTTGACATAATTAATGGACCCACCTTGTGCATTTATAAAATAAAACCTTGAAAGATGTATAATTGCTAAATTCAGAAATTTTATAAACTAAGCCCATAAAATAAAAAAATGGCTTACATAAACCAGCATCCAGTGACAATGCAGTTGATCCTCCTGTTATCATGGCTACACCAACAACTGTTGCCAGGTAACCATTGCGACACCATGAAAGATAACCTGTTTAAAATTAGTACCTTATTCGTTTATTTAATTGCTAAATGACAAATGTTTCAAGCTTTTCACCTCTAAAATAAAATATAAATCCTGGAGCTCAAATTAAACAATCAAGAAAGCAGTTTAATTATTTTTTTAAACTTCTAATTAAAATTTATAATTTCCCCCCTTTAATTTAAGTGCTTTTATTATGTCTTATGCCATGGCTGGCAACAATTAAGATGTTCTGTTAATTTAAAATAATTTATGGACGTTACTTAATATTTATAAATAAAATCAACAAGCTTTGCGGATTTGCAGATTTCTAAACATTTCTTTTCATATACCGATAGTTTATTTGTTAAAAATAAATTGTAACTTTTATTTAAATTTTACTCTTAAAAATAAAATATTTTATTTTTTAAGAGTAAAATTTTTAAAATTCTAAAAATTCTGTAAGCATTTTGGATTAATTTTATCAATTCAATACGTACCATTTTCATTCATGAGTCTGATTGTCTGTAAAATAAATGTTAATTAACATATTAAAAGAATTTTTTAATCAGTCCCAGAACTCTGAATTTAACATTCTATTTCTGCTTTAATCTATTGGGATCATGTATCCTACACAGGTTTATAGAGAAATCGTTGTTTGTGGGATCGATCTAGAGACCGTCGGCTAACTCGACTTAAAATAATATTGGTAATTGGAATCTTAAAAATATAAACTTTCTACACAACTTAGATGCAATTGGTTTCTAAAAACTTCTTATTTAGTTAGTCAAATTAGTCAATGCACTAACAAATTTGTAACATGCCAATCTCCTTCATCATGATAAATTTATCTTTGACCACTTCCCCTAAAACTGCTTCAGCTGATTCCTTTAACTTAATAATTATAATCCAGATTATAAGATTAATGCAATAATCTTTCACAGCGTCTAATATTATAGAGATTAAAAAAACTTTGACAAGTTGGTCTAAAAAGTAAATTGTACTACTAATAGCCCTAAGCAACAGAATTAGTCCACTTTTTAGTCTCATAATGTTCCTTCCTAACATAATTATTTATAAAATAAATAAATCCAATTCAAATAACGTAAAAATATTTTTGACAAACCATTTCAGATTTCAATTTTTCATGCTTTGCAATTTGTTCATCTTTTGATGAAGTACTATTTGCTTTCCCTAAGAGATGGTGTGAGAATTTCAAATGTGATGAATTAAACAGACAAATGTCCCTATTTGCGACTTTCGCATCAATGTTGGTAGACCCATTTGGCCAGGCATCATGCCTATTATAGCCCTGTAGACTGTATGGTCTGAACAAATTTATTGAAGACTTGTTAAGGAGAAGAAATGCACCATGACGTTTGCAGACATTTAGCACTTTATGTGAGTGAAGTGACATTTTCTTAGATTGCAAACACATGAAACTCCATAGCTTGGGTTAAAGGATAATCTGAAATGAGATATTTAGGATGTTCAGCAAATATCTAGTATAGTCACAGTATGGTATTAAAATAACACTCATCGTGGCATTTAAGAAACACTGAGCGTAACTTCTTTTTCAAAAATAATCATTCATAATCATTAATGGATAGGTAAACAAATTACTTCTACACTATTAATTTCAGAAGATCAATCATCAAACAGATAAACATTTACGACAACTTGTCAAACAAAACTTACATTTTCTAAACCTAGTGCTTCATATTACTGAACTATTAAGTTTTTTCAAAAAGCTTAATGATAGATTTCCAAGAGATGTCAGTAGGATTATTTCAAAATATCATTGCCAAAACCAAGAAGCTGTTCTGAATTATGAAAATTCATGTGGGGAGAGGTTGGGAATTAGGACATTGATTTGGATCAGTGTTCTGCAAGAGTGTGCCATGGGACAATGTTTGGTGTGCCCTGAGATGATGTTTGGTGTGCCATGGGACAATGTTTGGTGTGCCCTGAGATGATGTTTGGTGTGCCATGGGACAATGTTTGGTGTGCCCTGAGATGATGTTTGGTTTTTTAAAACAATAGAAAATCAGTTGATTTTTTTTTATGCTTTAATTGTGGTGTGCCATAGAAATCTGGGAAGGGTCTAGATATGTTGTGTGTTGTGAGCGAGAGTTTTTGTGAGTGTTGAGTAGGGGGAGTCGTTAATCGTGGGAGTGACGAAAGTGTGTGTTGTGAGTTTGAATGTGTCAGAACCTGGACAAGTTACAGTGAGCACGACGTGGAGGTCGTGAACTTGTCAAGGGCAGTCCCGAGAGGGGGACATAAGGTGTACAAGGTCGAAGTCATCTGTAATGACTTCAGATGGAGCTACGAGGGTCGTAGTCCACGCGCTGGGTTAAGTGGTGTCACTGGTTGCTCGAGGTGTGAGAGCCAGTGTAGTAGTAGGTCTGGTTTAGACTCAGACAGTCTTGTTGTTGACCGTTGTCACTTTGAGTCCGTGGAGGACGTGACCTTTTGTCCCGATGTGGGACCAGGGGATAGAAATAATGTTTTTCATAATAATTTATGTCATGTGGGTTTAAGTGGGGGATGTTTTGATTTTGTTTTTGATGTGTATTATAAAATTGGTGTATTATGTGATGAGAGCCGGGAGCGCTCAAGCTTTAAACGTATTGAGGGTTTTGATTTTGTTGAGAGGTGTTGCCATGAGTTGGGAGGTGAGGAATGTAAATTTTGTTTCACTGGGTTATGTGAACATTTGTCTTGGACAATGTGTATTGAAATTTTGTGTAACTATTTGCCTTGTAAAGTATTATTCAAATTGCTTGTACGGGCTGACATGTTAAGCCAGAGGAGACAAGTAGTGTTTGTAGACAATGTTGTGAGCTGGGGGAGAAATTTGCACGCTTTTTGGAAAGCGACAGACAAGCGGAATATCCCGCCCTCATGGAGTGTACTAACTGGCTGGACAATTAATGGCTGTCCATAGGATTACCGATGTTGACAATTTTTTTTTCTTGAAAGTCGGTTTTTCCCTTATCTTTGCTCAGAATTTTTGTTGTGTAATGTTTTATTTTTAGAACACATGGAATAGTTATTGTTATTTTGGTGGTGATGTAATTTTACTTTAGGATGTTTTGCTGAGGATGAAGTAACACTATGAATACCATTGTAATGTTGTGAGCGAGAGTTGTTGTATCTTGTACTTGATATTGGAATTCTAGGGATAAGACTGTTCAATTTTTGTTATTGCAATGTTGTGATGTTATTTTGGAGTGTGACATCACTACTGTGAGTGATGTCAACGAAAGGGGGGAGGAATGTTGTGAGCGAGAGTTGTTGTGAGTGTTGGGTAGGGGGAGTCGTTAATCATGGGAGTGTTTTGTGAGTTGTTGGTCGAGAGGTCAGAGCGTGAAGTTAGTCCATGGTGTGGCACGTTTGCGTAGGCTGAGTTGTTTGTGTGGTATTATAAAAGGGAAGTGTGTTAGCTAGAGGTCAGTCAGAGAAAGTGAGAGTCAGAGAAAGTCCGAGTAAGAGAAAGTCGGAGTCAGTGAGAGTCAGTGAGAGACAGAGAGAGACGGAGTGACACGTTAGACAGTCAGAGAGCAAGAGAATTGTTAGTAGTCAGAGGATTGTCAGTTAGGAGATAGAGTGAAGTGTATCCTGTTGTATAAAGAACCTAATAAATATTATATATTGATACATGGGACCTTTGCGTTTTATATAATACACCCTAGACAACGGAGGGAGAGCCGTAACATTTGAAGTATAACGAAGGTTGTAACATATCAAGCATAACGAAGGTTGTAACATCGTGAGTGAAAAAAAGTTGCGGAGCACTGATTTGGGTGATTGGTCTTGCTTGACCGGGAGGGCAGAGGTTTAGACATAAAGCATAAAAAGAAATGAGTGGAACAAAGTATGGTCAAACCTGAAAAATGGAACTCAACAAAACAAGGAACGTGTCGGCAGGAAGCCTCCGTCAGCGAACAAACAACAGAAAAAAAACAGAATTGGATTAAAAAATAGCACTTTTTTCAGGTTTGACCATACTTTGTTTCACTCATTTCCTTTTTTGCTAAACTGATTGCAGCCTCTCCCCTTATTACATAGAGATAAGGCAGAGGATGTGGGAGAACACCATAAATGATGTCCATAATTGAGGGATGGACACCTTTAGCAACTCTTTAAGTTGGCACCAAATCGCATTAAAATAATAAAATTGATGGTAATCTGCTATTTTAGCATAATAAATTCGATGCAAATGGAACATCATTTTCTTTCTTCATATTTTACATTTTGAAAATAAATAATAAACTTATTTCTTTATAAAAAGAATTTTAAAATTATTGTTTAAATATCATCTTTTTGTCTAAATTCAACCATTAAACAAATTGTACAAGATAAAAAAATACAATTCCTTCATCTTTTGTTATTCATGGCGCATTGTGGTATGCAAGGATAACTTTTCTGTCTTCAAAGATATGTTCTATTTTTTTGCCCAATTGGATGTATCTAGATTTAAATAAATACAGTATTTATTTTGTATTAATTTATTTAGTTATATATCTAGGGGTCGGATTTTTCTTTTGAAACCTGTGGGTTTAAATATTTGTTCACGTGTTCTAGGCATCTTGAAAACTGTGGGCCATCTATAAAGGGCTGTGCAAAGGTGGTACTCGCCCAGGGCGTCAGTATCAGGAGGCACATTTTATTTATACTGGGGGCTGTAGTTTCAGGCTTCACCCCCTAGTACAATATAGTCTCAAAAACATAGAAAATTGTATTGTAATAGTAAATAAATAAACATTCATTGCTGTGCATATCAAATTGAGGTCACTTCTCAAAGTAGATGACTTATGTTTATAAAATTAAATACAGTACACTATTGAAAATAAACAGTTGCCGTCATTTGCCACTTTGATATACAAAGATGTTGTGGGGAGGGTGGGGGAGGGTGGGGGAGATTGAGTAAGGGGATGAGGGAGATTGAGGACGCTAAAGTGACCTGAGCAAAAGTGAGGGTGGGGTTTGGGAGGAGGCTGAGCCCCTTTCCAGAATTTTTTGTATAAATTTACAATGCAGTGATGCACTTTTGTGAATACCTGAATATAGTTTTGCATCATTCTAAACTTAATCGTAATGCTTGTGGTAAATATGGTTTCCTTTACCTAGCTGTGTTTATATAAATCCTTTTTATTTTTAGTAGTTACTAAATAGTATAGTAAAACTATTTTATAATTTATTACTTAATTCAATATATTTTTTAATCAATCTAAAAAGGAGCGAGAAAACCCAAATGGCGCATACCGTCACAAAAAATGATGAATATATATTATATATTTCAAATATACGTTTATGCCAAAAATGAAAATAATTGCTCATTGAATTAAGAAATAAGTTAATTTGTGATACGTCTGACGAGCCACAATTTTTACATATGATGATATGGGTCGGGAATTGCCCACCTCTGCATTAAGCCTATGCCTATTTTATTTTCTGTTAACATATATTGTATTCTAATAATTAAAATAACTAAGGTAGGCCAGTAGGCTAGGGACTTTTTAATTTAAATTGCTTATTTTTTAAATATGTTTGCTCTCATTGCTCACTCTCAATCGTTTTTAACTGAATTTATTGTGCTAAACTAAAATAGTAGATTACCAAAATGTACAAATGGATAATGTAACCGTTCATCATTGTTTATAATTTATTATGTATCAATATTATATTAATTATAATAATAATTTGTATCAGTATCAGTATAGTCTATAATAATTATAGTAGTTAAGTATAGGCATAGGCCATGTAGCATATTCTGAGCATATGAATATGCATAATGATAATGCATGATTTATGGCATCAAATCATATCGTACTAATGACAATGAATCAATGAACTACGTTAGGTCGTTAGGTTCTCTTTAGTTTAACTTTACATTTACTTTATTATTATTAATTTTATTACTTTTTAAGTTTAAGTAAGTCATCGGACTCGGAAGCCAAAGGGCTAGTTCACTCTGTTAACTTGTAAACAAACAAACAAAAAAAGGACTGGAATTTCGTTAAGATCTAAGTCTGGTCGATCGTTCAATCCAAAATGTCCATTTGAACTTTGTTACAAGTTGAAGTTTTTTAGTCGTCAATATTTCATGTCATTCAAAATAACTTTTAAATGCAACTAATTTCAACTGTCTTCATGGGCGACTACTTGGAGATATTGCATATCGATACCTATGTTTTATCTACCCTATTAAACCCATCAAAATTTAATAATAAATTAATTGAGTTCCCAGTTCCCGGTGTTTCGGTAGAGTGACTATAGTCAATAGTTGTTTTAGAGTTGAAATAATTCTACATTAGTGTTAGTTCAAGCAATTTAAAGTAGACATAATGACTCTTCATGCTAGTGCTCACATTCACAAATATTATATTTTAAAAATGCAGATTACATTCATCAAGCAAATTTGTCTTAATTTTGAATGTAGTCCAAACTCATCAAACTGGAGGGGGAAAAATGCGTTTCATTGTAATTTTTAATAATGTTCAACAACGAAATAAAATTAGCCTACTTCTAGTTTAACTTATAACCCTGCTAGTCCAACACTTGAACAAAAAACAGCGATAATTTCATTGGCAATGAATAAATGAATAGGATTTAATTCTTGTAAGCCTCTTCGCACTAATTAATTGAAACAAAATAATTGTTAAATAGAAACGCACAAAAAGGGGTGCAAAAATTGTAAAAGTAGCGTGAAGTACTTTATGGATGGCCCCTTATTTTGATTGGGGAGCAGGCCCGCACCTGGGGGGGGGGGCAATGGCATTTGTCAGGAGCCCGATAGATAGTGGCCCGCCCTTTTTACAGTTTTTAAATATATACGCACATGTTTGAAACAAGAAAGAGGCCCGAACTCTGTCAGCTGCCTGGGGCCCAGAATTTCCTAGGTGCGGGCCTGTGGGGAGTGCTCATCCACGGTTAGTGCTACCCAGGGCGTGCCAAGATTTTTGCCACGAAATTCTCTAACCTACAGTTAGCCGAAAATGCACTCTTCAATTTATTGAATAAAGGGGAATCGCTGCCTCCGACCAACCTTTTAAAGGGAATAAAATAAACAATTAAGGGTGTATCCGTATCCTTTCATAAATACGGACTGCGTTCGGCTTAAAGCAATAAGAAATATTCAAAGGGTAGAAGAAAACCTGAAGAAGGACAATAAAGATATTTTTTTCCGTGGGAAATTCTGTTATTGTCATTCGTTTCTTATATTATTTATATATTTTGTGTCTGTAGAGCCAACCGAATGCCAATAATCTCTTTTCCACATACTTTAAAGGTATGTCTGGTAATTAAATTGTTTTCAAATTCGTCTGCATTTAGTTGATTTGGGTTTATATAAATAAATATTATTAAAGCTTTAATTTTTAAATATGGATTTGTATAAATATCGATACCAATAAGTTATGGGTTCAACTGCTGTGCAATAAATTTAACCACCCCTTTCTTTGTCAAAGTTCCTATTACGGTTCTTGATTTAATTTAATTGTTAATATTTTATCGAATCCCGATCTTTATTTCCTAAAAACTGAAACAGCCTCGTGTCTTTTTCATTCTACTTTAATTTTATCAATAAATTAGAATAATTTATTTGTATTTGGCTAAAAATTATTTGCTTAATTGATTTCATCGCGGTAAACAAACGACATTCTCGATTGCAAGCAGGCACCAAATGTCAATAACAATTTCAATTACATATTATTGACTTTGAATTTATTAATTTAGGATTTAGTTGTAAACGGATAATCTGTTGCAGCTAAGGTACCCAGCTAAGCATTCGCAAATTTGTAATATAACCCATTAAAATGCCATATGTGATTATAAGTACACAGATTCGATTAGTAAGTCCTACGTTGTTGTTTTTTTTCGTTTCTTTTCCGTTCATATTTTATACTTTATTAATTAGACTTTAATACTAATATTAAATACAATAGTCACTATTTATTAGTAATTTATTTTCAATCAGAATTATGCCAAGTTCAAGTAGTAGTACCACCCTGAAGTAGTATCATAATCAATAATCTGCATCTACATGCCCGTTTGTCCTTGGACCGTTGGGGCGCAACAGATGACATGAAAATATTGTTGAAAACTATCTCCCCCCATTCCTCTCTGTTTTCTTCTGACTTAGCTTTAGTTCCGTCCACTCTTGGATGTTATCTTCCCATCTCTTTCTTCCTCTTCTTCTCCCTCCTCTGGTTGTGCCCTGCATGATTTCTTTTGCGAGCTCTTGTTTTATTGTCATGTGGCCATACGATTCCAGTTTGTACTTTTTTACAGCTCCCAGAAGTAGAAAGTCATCATATTGCCCAATAGTAGCTTGACTTTTCTTTGATTTGTTCTCTATATATATGGTCTCTTTAGCAGATTCCAAGAATGCTTCTAACACATCTCATCTCCATCGCCTTTATTTTTCTTTCAAGTTCTGCTGTTGATGTTCAGGACTCATAGGCATACAAGAAAATGGAGAGGAGTAATGAACGCATCAGCCTGATTTTGGTGCTGGGGGCTATATTTTTGTCATTCCATATTTTCTTAAGCCTCTTTCACTCTTTAGTGCTGTTGTGGTCTGGGCAATCCTGGACATCAATTCGGACTTGGAACCTTCTTCTGAGACTATTGCCCCTAGGTACTGGGTACTTGAAGCTGCCTACTCAATAATAATCATCCTAATACCATCAATATCACTTGAATATCAATTTGAATTGAATATTTTGTGTGTGTGTGTGCATATAGGCCCTACTGAAACTTATCTCACCTAACTTAATTACTTTTACTATTAGTATATTACTGAGTTAACATCATTAGCATAGGCCATAGCCGCATAGGCTACATACTAAACTAAAAAAAATTAGATAAAGACTAAGAAATTAATTTAGTATTAGCAGGCACTTTGATGAAAATTCCAAAACATTTTTATATATATTTCTTTTAAAACTACAAAGTATGGAGCCTTGATAGTGGTTTACAAAAACACCAAGATCAACTTTCTAGCTCAAGAGGTTCAAAAGTTATGAATTTTTAAGTAAGGACTTCAAAACCACTTTTCACTAGATAATACTGCTAATACTAATTTTTCACTAGACTATATCATAGATGGGCTTGGGGTTTTCCTCCACATTTCGTGACCCTTATTTTGCTTTTGTTTTTACGCCTATACAATTATTATTATAAAGTGAGATAAAAATATAATTTTTACAGGGAAATTAGTTAAATATGAGTTCTTTGAAATAAATCCTTAAAATATAAATTAAATAAAGTATAGTATTAATAATCAGTAAGTGTAAGTTAAGACTTAGGACTATTAAGAGTTTAGACCAAGTCGTACAAGTAGAGGTACAAAAGAAAATAACAATTTCACTATATTATTATCACAGGGGTTGGTGCAAAACAGTAACTCGCTTGAGTAATGACTATTTGCCATTACTAGATAGTGCATAGTGACCTACATGCATTTTTTATTTATTTTAACCAAACCCTTTAATTAAAAAAAAAGTACTCAGTATCACAAATTGTATTAGGTCAAATTTGACTTGACATAGGGCACCTGGTATAAACCTAAATTAGGGAAGGACACAGAGAATTGAACAATTTTAGTTGTACCGTAGACACAAATTAGACACTACACTTTAATCGCACAATGTCACAAATTTTTGACACACATAACCCCCTCCCCAAATTGCGTTAAGAGTCATCACGTTTTTGTATGGCCTCATAGGCGAACGGTGGGCTAAATATTATTGCTACAACTAGTGTGATTTATGGTGAGTTCACAAGTGAAAAATCCAAAGCCACAATATGAGGAGTAGACTCTTTGATTCATGCACTCCATGTTAAATGAAATAAAAGTTATTTGTATGATTGATCAGAAGCTTTTGGGATTTTTTTAAAACTACAAATCCTTGTCATGTCCTAATTTACTTGAAAGTAGGTTGTAGGTACGAGGTTACAATAATTATTTTTTCAAATTAAAATAAAGACCACATTGTAAACGACATCCTAACTGGAACCAAGCAATTATATATGTTATTAATGGGCACATTTGCTAATGACACAGCTACTTACGCATGTTAGAGCTACCTATACATCTCACACCTACTTACACATGTTCGAGCAACCTACATATTTCACGTCTATTTACACATGTTTCAGCTACTTACTCATCTTTAAAATATTATATCTACCTGTATTTAGGAGTTTACCTAATGTCTTTCAATTCAAGGATGTTGGTCCCACAGTTGTTGGGGACGAATGGAGTGACAAGGAACTTATGGACTATTTAGATGCCACATTAATAAAGCAACTAGGAAACAATTAGTGAGTACTGTTTTCAATAAACAGATGTTTTAAGTATTTAATAATCAAGTTTATTTCTTGTCTATTCTATGGAAATTAAGTAACCTTGTTTAATTTTATTTATCACCAGCAGTGCCCAGTACAGAACAGATGATGCCCCAAGAATAGTTCTTGAAAAACTTGAGAAACGGAACTTTAAACTAATAGCTATGACAGGGGTTGGGCAGACTTGCATATGGACACTACATAAAGAACTTAGTGAGAAGGAGAAAATATTGAGCAGTTCCAGCAGTGATGCTTTTGAAAGTCCGAAAATTGAGAATAAAGGTGATCTTTAAGGATATACACATTATTGCCTATTAGGCAGAATAGTTATTTTTGGTTACCGGGCATCTGTATCTAACTTATTCTTCTTTTTGGTGAAATATTGTTTTCATTGGTGGAGTTTGGTTTTTAAATGAACATTTAGATAAAATGTTATAAAGCACAATGTTCGTTAAAATTACCAGTAATTCTGTGTAATTAATATTCTGCATCAAAACTATTCAAAGAAAGCTTAAGAAATTTACATTTATTTGTACAGAATTATATTATTTCTTGACAATTCTTACTGCAGATTTTCAACTCTAACACATGACAAAACACTCTTACATTATATTCAAGGAGCAAGGTGTAGTCATTTTTTTTTTTTTTTTTTGTGAGACTGGCCATGTGCTATTGTGTTTAAAAAGGTTTTTATAAAATATCCTGTAGCATACCGCTATCTCAAAAATTAAAATTGTTTTTTCAAATTAGAGCGACAAAAAAGATTTTCAACTCTAACACATGACAAAACACTCTTACATTATATTCAAGGAGCAAGGTGTAGTCATTTTTTTTTTTTTATTTGTGAGACTGGCCATGTGCTAATGTGTTTAAAAAGGTTTTTATAAAATATCCTGTAGCATACCGCTATCTCAAAAATTAAAATTGTTTTTTCAAATTAGAGCGACAAAAGTTGTGAGACACTCTTTTCAAATCCAAGCAAAATATTCAAATTTTCTGTTAAATCTAAAATTAAAATCTAAAATTATTTTTTTTTTAAATTAGTTGTTAGTTATTTCAAAATATTTGCAAATTATCAAAACAAAATATTTAAATATTTCTGATTTCCGTTCTCCCTTTTACAGTAATGGAGTATTACATAAAAATTGAATCATATAAATTATTAATACTTCATTAAAACAAGTACTTAAGGAACTTAAAATGTAAAACTGTGATAGTCGACCGAAGCAATACACATTTCTACTGTTGTTGAAAATCTCTTTTTTTATTGGCTAAAATTATTGTATTAGGCATACTTAACTTAAACTTTTTTTCAGAGTCAATTTCTAAATTTTCTTTTTCTTCCCACATTTACAATTTCTATTTTAAAAATTAAGTACCCTAATTCATTACAAGCATTTGTATTTTTTTAAAAAGTATATTATATATTTTTACCTCTACCAGTACTTCAGAGTGATCCATTTGTATAAAAATAGGATAAATAACCTAAGGCTGTATAATGAAACATAGATAGAGAAATGTTTTGAGAGTAAAGTAACTTGACTTTCCTGCTGTGTCCTATTTTCATAAATGATTTACAATTTTATAAAAGTAACTGAATTTTTTTTTATAAAAGTCGGAAACTACATATTTTGTGTGGTAATATTTGTGTATTCAGATTAACATGTTAACTGAATTGCATAACAGAAATAAATACATTAGATACCTCTAATTTTAAGGAATTCAACTATTTAAACCACTGACAAAGTCAAAGATAAACTTCATATTTAAAAAAAAAACATTGACAAAGTTCCAGTTTGTCTTACTGAATTTACATTAAAAATTAAAAAAAATATTATTTTAGCTCTCAATCTATGCCTTCATCTTTTTATGTGCATTTATGTGATACCTTAATTTAAAATTTGCATTAAATTTCTATATCAAAATCATAATAACATGATAATCATAGTTTTCCAGTGTAATTTTTTGGAAACGCAAGTCTTTGAAAGATTTTATCTATTGCTACTCAAGATGAAATGGCCGCATCTGTTGACGTACATCACCATAGTAAAAGATGGGTATTGGGTTCATTTTATTTTTTTGTCTTGTGATCCTCTTGTTTCATTTTAAATTATTTTTTTTTTAAAATGATATATTCATCATTTTATATCTAATGAGAACTGGTAGATATGATGCTGTCCAAAATATTTTAAATTAATCATTTAATCAGCCTTATATATTTTATCTTTTTGTGTCAAACATTTTTATTGGTTTTATTTTAATTTCATTTTTTTTTTAAAAATAAAGATGGAGAATTTACCCAAATGCACTTCTGATAAGATGAAACCCATTCCAAATGTGTATCTTGGAATGAGTCGGTCAGTCATCGCCTACCCTGGAATTATAGATGAAATCTGTGAGAGTGGTTACAAAAAGGATGTCAGAGTTTGAAAATAATGGAACTCTTATCTCATAGCAACTTTGCGCGTTAAAATTAAGGTTTCATTTTTAGTTTTAGATTCAGTATTAGTGTTATAGTTACGGTGAAACGTTTCTTCGTCATTTACATTCCGCTCAGTGTTATCGTTATATTTATCTTAATCACTTTCCCTGGTTTATTAGTGCTAACGTTGAGCAATACATGCCATCTCCAACACTTTTCTTGTTGATTGTATATATTATATTATACTCTATATTGATGTACTTGGTAGGGCACAATAAAGATACAGACAAGGCTTTTGATCTGAAACTTGTGTTCTTGGTTTCTTTATATAGTTAAATATTAACCTCTACTCCAATATAAAATTGTATTTCTCTTTGAATTAAGTAATTTGAGAATTTAAAAAATCCATGTATTTTCTCGTGTGCATTCCTCCTGATTAAATTAAATCTATTGAAAACAGGCAGTTTAAGATCTGATGCTTAAACTTCATTCTATCACATTTTATAGAATTTCGCATTAGTTTTTATTTAATTTGTTTTCCAAAGGTTTTTCTTGGACTGGTAAAATAAACTTGACTAGACAATGGGACAACTAGCTTGAACTTGAAGGGAGATTTAAAATAATTATATGGTTATCGCCCCTCGCCAGTGAAGAATTTATAATTGATGTCTGCTGTTATTCTAAAACTAGTCCACAATAATAATTAGCAGAGTGTTAAATTTCCTTCATCTAACACCGGCATGGCTACGGTGAACGAAATTTAGCTAATTTGTTTTTGGACTGGTGGTTAAGGGGGTGTGTTAAGTGCAAAGGTGCATATTTAAGCCATTCCCGTCAGTGACATTTGGGCCGCTGCTGAAAATGGCCGGTTTGATTTTTGTTCCAGATCGCATGGATACCCCAGTCCACCACTGGTCGTCAAGTGCAATCAATTTATTAAATACTCGGCAAATCCTTTTGCGCGGCTTGAGAATAATTTGCCATTCGTGTCACATGCCTCATATTTAGTGAACACTTGAACCGATGCTGTTTTCGTTGTGTATTGACGCGTACTGACATTACAGAGGATTTAAAATGTGTTCTTTTGTGTGCATTTGGTGCGTACGTGATCAAGCACACGGGAAGCAGCACGGTGCGCATTGACTCATTGAGAGTTGGGCGGGCAATATCCATTTGGGAATTATTGTTATTATTATATCAGGGACAACTCCGCCACATTGCTCGTGTAAAATATGGGAAGAGGTGCATGATATATAATTATAATAATAATTCCAGATTGCGCTCCATATATTTCTATCGCTCTTGTTGTTTTTTATTTTGTAAGTCTGCTGAAAAAAAAAGTGTTGGAATGCGATAACGCTTTTAATTTTAAATAGATTAACGAGACACAAAACAATGTGTGTAAATAAAACAATATATGTTAAGCTTTATTTAGGTTCTGGTTCTTCTGGTTCTGGTAGTGTTCGCTGCTGCATCCATGTACTGGCATCTGTGCAACGGTTGGGGGAATGATGTTGCTAGTCTAACAGCTCCTAGCAGATGCCAGGGCAGCCTTGAAGTTTTCGACCGATGTCGAGTTCACAGCGGCATTGTCCAGGTGGTTCCAAGCTATTATCGTGTGTGGGAAGAAAGATTGTTTATACTGCATTGTGTTGCACCGAGGCTCGGTGAAGCATTTCCTGTCGTTTTGGGTGTAATTGTTTATGGGATTGTCAGTGGTGAAGTCAGTGTTCAGTGAGCATTTTGCTCTGATCAATCTACCCGGCTTCTGTACATGTCTGCTGGGATGGCCAGCACCAGTCCCATGACCACTTTATATAAGAATATCAGGCGGAGTCCCTCTCGTCAGTCTTTAAGGGAGGTGATGTCAAATCTTTTTAAATCTGACGGAGCCAGGAGTGGTGGCTTTGTAGTCTCGTGCGATGAAACGCACGGCGTTACGTTGAATTCGCTCCATCTTGTCCACGTCTTGCTTAAGGTGTGGGTCCCAGATGATTGCACCATATTCTAGTAGTGGACGGACGAGTGCGAGATAGGCATTTCGTTTACATTTAGGGTTAAATAAATACAAATTTAAGCGTTCTCCTTTTACTGTCCCATCTTTGCATTTCAAGCTTCAACAAGCCGTGCTCCACTATTTTCATATATCCACCAATGCTTAGTTGTATTGAATCTATATTAATTTTGTCTTAAGAGTTTACGTAATAATTTAATACATTTTAGAAATTCGTTCTTAAATAAAGAAGCGGGTTATTGGCGAATGTATTCTTTTGTGTGCATTTGGTGCGTACGACGGGGGAATCCGCGAATGAGAGCGCGTCGCGGTGTGCAATTCTGGGGGACAACGTCTACTCGGGGATTGTGAGATTACAGTAATTTTTTTTAAAAAAAGTATAGAAGATGCATCTTACACAGTGCCGCCTTAACTCGGGGGCTGAACAGTGCACTGCTCAGGAACCACGGTCGCTTAACTATACATAATTTATGTTAATTTCTAACATAAAGAGGAAACGGGGAACAGTGCATTACTTTGCCCACATAGCCCCTATTGCTGTTTAGACAGCACTTGATAAACAACTACTGGTTAGCCCCACCAAAGCCTAATGATGAGCCCCATCCAAGCTTAATGATTATCCCCACTTAAAAACATTTGATTAGCCCCACCTAAGCCAACTGATTAGCCCCACCCATACCCACTGATTAGCCCCGCCTACGTCAACTGATTAGCCCCACCTAAGCCAACTGATTAGCCCCGCCTAAGTCAACTGATTAGCCCCACCTAAGTCAACGGATTAGCCCCACGTAAGTCAGCTGGTTAGCCCCACTTACCCAACCCATACCTACTGATCAGCTCCACATAAGCCACTGATTTCTGATTAGCCCAGCCTAAGCAACTGATTCGCTCCAACCATAACAACTGATTTGCCCCCATACAATTGCATGCACGTTAGCAAAAAATAGTCAAGTCAATGTAATGTGCAGATGATGTGAACAGCAAAGTTTGGCTTTGGCTCTCTCAGTTTACATGTGTGTATCTCATTATCACGATTGTTTAACGGTCTTTGTTTAGGTATGGCGTAAATAAGAGTGATATAGGGGCTGGCATTAGTTCACGAGCACTCAGAGCCTTTAATGGTCTGTGTTTAGATACGGCGTAAATAAGAGTGATTAGATCACCAGGACTCTAGGACACCGCGTAACGTTTGGTGGGC